TCCCCACCCCCCCTACCCTTTACTTCTACACACACACACACATGCGCACACACTGCGACTCCCCTCCACTTTCTCTTGATCTGGTGGAGTGTGTCCAGCACTCTACAGGTGTGACCCACTCAGACCTGTGAAAGACTCAACACAACACTCCAGCCTGTGATCACTAAGGCAAAAAGGAGCAGCTGCACAAATCTGAGAAAGCAAAGGTTCAATTATCACAGAGCGGGGGCATTAAAGAAAGCAGAATCTACAGTAGCAGGGCTGTGGTCTAAGGTATAAGATAACTTTGTGGCTGCTTATGATCCTCCTGTTGGCCTGGGGTGCCATGAGGGCACTCGCATTTCCACAAGACAGGCTAAGAACTTCAGCAATTAAACTTGGTAATGTTATTAGACTTATATTTTTACGCTAAATTTAATGATTAATGATTTCTGCTTGGGTCTCATTCATGGGACATATTTCATCCACTCTGTCACTGTGTTTAAGTGGATTAACAAGTACAAGACATTTGTTATTTTACTCTGAAAAAGTGGGCTGATATTAATTGTCCGGCTCTTTGGTGGGTAATCTCATTTAACAAAATTGATTTTTTTTTTCTTTTGCAAAAATAGCCCAGCCTGGGGTTTCTTTATGCAGTTTCCTTCCATTGGTTTTCTTTAAACAGTTAAGTTTATCTTGTAGTCCCAATGTTAGGTTTACTGTTTTCTAAATTAACCTTAGGTATGAGCATGTGTTTGCATCGCTGTCTTTCCTGTTTTCTCTGTGATGAAAAAAAGAAGACCATTCAATGATTCTTGAGGTATTAAGCCCTCCCACCCTGTGACCATGCCAGGACCAGCAGTTCTAGGAAATGTAATGATTGGTGTATTAAAACCCCGAAATGGAGAAGCACCGTCAGTATATATGCAGTCACATTCAATTAATCAGAAAATAACAGAAAGCTTTATTTATATCAATAAGTCCAAATGAAACACAGTAATCAGGGTTCTTCAGTCAATGCAGTTTATTTATATAGCGCCAATTCACAACACATATCATCTCGAGGCACTTTACAGTTCAACCAGATCATACAGTCAAATTGATTCAAAGTTTTCTATCTAAGGAAAACCAGTTGATTGCATTGACTTTTAGCCTTGCAGATGTCATCGCACAATAAATACCTGCATGGATGATGCCTGTAAAATTGGGACTACAGCGTTCAGGAAATGAGGTACAAAGAACTATGTTGTCGCTCTCCATTATAAAACTCAATAATATGAAGTTGTGTGCTTTAGCACGTGTCACACAGAGCACATGACACAAAATAATGTTTTTTTTTGTAAAACTCCATCAAGTGGGCTGTACCTACACGTTCTGTCATGCAAAGGAAAGTAGGCAATTGTATAGCTCCTAACTGTAGATAGAAAAGTCAGGAGGTCCCTTTGCTAAATGAACTGGCAATAGTAAGCATACTGCTTCTTCTTTCTAGCTCCTCTTTTACAGCCAGCACTTATCATGGCGGCTGCTCATGAACTTCTTCTTTGGCTATGAGCAATGTTCTTCAGGACACATTGACATGCATGTTTCAGAGGTATCTCTGCTCCAACACTCCTGAATCAAATGATTCCATTACCTCCTTAGCAAGTCATCAGGGGTTGCAGAGGCTTATTAATGTTTATTTGAGACTGGTGTGTGGCAGTAGAGAAACTTCAGAATCAGAAAATGCTTTATTACCAAGTAGCGTTTTACACATAGGAGAAATTTGATGTGGTGCTACACATAGACTCCCAAACACATAGCTTGCTTTTGTCATATGTTAGAATCTGACACAAAATAAATTAATTACTCACAAACTTTTGTTCTCAAGCTTTTATTAATCTATATATCTCAAAATTATTTCCTGCAGTAGACTAGAGACCTGTCCAGGTCTGTATCCCACCTTATGTTCAGGGAACTGCGGCAGATTGGCACCAGCCCCCTGTGACCCCGACAGACATGCAGTAGAAGATTGCTTAGAAGATTAGTATGCTATGCCAGACCAATGGGAAAAAAAAACAACAACAAAAAACGTTTTTATGATAAACACTTTGGTTTCATGAAGAGCATGGGTATTACCTCATATTACTATCAAAAGTGTTCTTAATTTGAAACATTTTCCAAATTTAAACTAACTCTATAATAACAGTTCAATAACGTGCCTTTTTAGAAGGCCTTTCAGTAGTTGCTTCATGTAAATGAGACCTTCAGCTGTGGGGTGTGCTCTAACTATTCTTTTCATTTTTTTGTGTATTTTCTATTTTTTGGTTGTTAGTTTGGCTGGTCCAGCCAGCAAATGTTTCTAATTATTTATTTTTTTAATGCACCTGTTTTTTTTTTTTATGACGCTTGTTGGTATATGATTCTAACATTGTTTAAATTTTTTTCCAGTTGATTACTTTTTTTGTTAGTTTGTAAGCTGATGTGATGTAAAACACTTTGACAGTGAGATCTGTATTTTTTACATGCTACATAAATCTTAGTTTACTCAGTGTACGAACACAGTTCCTTTTAGAAGAAAACATTAAACTTACACCAAATCAGAATTCTCTGCTTGTCTTTCATTCATGGGCGTAGGTTTGTATAGGGACCATAGGGACATGTCCCTACCAAAATTTTGGACGGACCCATTTGTCCCTACCAATAATTGGATGTGAACAACATGTTTATAATTTACTATACAGGAGCCGCTTCTTTTCCTCTCGCAGCTTCTCTGCCTGGTAGCTGCAGCTGCCTCTTTCCTGTCCCTTTCACATAGCAGCGCATCAACTGTGCTGCGCGGTTTAACTCTGATTATTCTGCCTTAAGTTCCGCCTTCTCTCTTTCTGATTGCGTGTTTTCTAGTCTGTATGTGCGCGCGCGCGGGTGCTTGGAGCGCAAAAAAAGGACGCTAAAATAAATTAATATTGGGCTACGAAACTAGTCCAAATTAAAAAACTTATTATCTACGCTAAAACAGGCGAAAGCTTCTGATTGGAGTTCTGTAAAGAAGCAGGAGAGAGTTTTTTGATTTGTGGAACTTGAGAAATGTAAGTTAACAACGTTATGATTTCTTTTATTTTATCTTTTAATTAGATAGCCAACGGCTCCTTAAAGAAGATCTTTTAAGAAATGAAACCAGGTGAAACAGAAACGTTTAAACGTTTCCTTTGGAGGAGTTCTGGATGGAGAATATTGACAGACAAAAACTTTTTTTTTTTACTTCTTAAATGCTAAATGTTCACATATTTTTTTACAATCTTGGTTATAATTCCTGCTCTAAGTGGGTCGCTCTGTCGGCTAAAGGCATATTTTAGTGGCCCTATACTCCAGTTTACGATTAATCAATTACTAAATTAGTTAACGATTATTTAAATAATTTGTTAATATGATTGTTTCAGCCATAGATAAAATACATGGAATTAGCTACACAGAGTAACCACAGCCCAGATGTACAACTTCTAATATTAATATTTTAAATGCTCAGTGTCAGTTCCTCTTCTAGTTCCAGTGCACATGTAAATACAATACATTTATTTGCTGTCCCTTGAATGTATTATTTTGCATGATCCAGAGAGAGCATATTAGATAAAAAAAATAAGAGTGGGTTTTACCTCTGCACAATTCTCTATCTTCAAAAGAAAACACAGGATAAATCCACATATTATAGACTATATGTGGTTAAACAGACACTGTCTTAGTCGCAGGTAAATTTAAATGCAATCCTTTTCAAAGTGGAAAAAGTCCTAATTCCACATTCATCAGAGCCAGTGATGCTTTAAATATTGATAAACAGCATCTAGTGCATGTAGTGTTTATAAGATTTGTATTAATGTAGCAAGAAATGCTGCTGTTCTCTTTAAACAAAATGAGCCCTGAAGCTCACATTAAGCATAAAAAAGAGCATGCATATTTTTGCAAAGGACCAATGAAACTGAAGAATAGTGTCCCTACCAAAGTTGAAATCAAACCTACGCCCTTGCTTTCATTGAACAGTTTCTTATGCTGAATTTTGTGAAGACCGTTTCACATTACAAACTTATGATCACAGTCCAAGTTCACCAAAGTATACCAGCATCCGTGCAAAGTAAGATGTAGAGGATAAACTCTACAAATTCTCAAGGGGAAGATGAGTTTTTGATGCATTACCTAAACCTTTAAGGAGGATGCATGCCAGAACCTACATTTTGCTGGGTAGTCATACTGATTAATGTTTGGCACACAAAAACAATACATTTTAGAGATGATTTTGTCCCTCGTTAAAGACATAAAGATTTGTACTATTCTTAATGAGCTTTGCAGGAACTGGACCCCGAATTACCTCAATGAAGCTTGAGGCAGCCCTTCCCAGCAATCTCTATTTAAATGAAAGATAAAAAAAATTGTTTTCCGTTTTTCTGGAAATATACTGTTGTATAAAAATGGAAAAGGTTCTTTAAAATAGCATTAGGTATTTTTTAGCCTAGCTTTATTAAAAATTTATTTCACTATTAAGAAAACAAATATATTGTGTGCAATGCAACATCTGCAGTATGGTTGTGAAACTGTGTCCAGTGCATTTGGGTATTATACACTTACAAAACACTAACCTATAGTATCCAGATTGAGTTTTCGCACTCAATGATTGGACTTGATATGTTCGTCATGGTTTACGCACAGCATGCTTTGAGACTCAACATACTGCAGCGGCAGCACCTGTGACGTGTTTGACGACCCACAATCGTCAGAGTGGAAAGAAAAGAAGCCTTATTTTTGTCAGGAATAAAAAAAGAGGATAACTAATTTAAATCTCTCAACTCTGGACATATTTGCATGAGCTGGGCCATTTCCAAACCCCGTTGTTTTCACGCTCAGGCACTTTAGATAGCCCCAATGCATCCTTAAGATTGACAAATGCAACATCTTACAATGAGGTCCGATGCTGCTGGGGAGTTGGTGGCACGAAGTGCGCAAATCACTGTCAAAATTGAGCATTTTTATGTTGCATGTCTGCTAGTGATTGAAACGCAGCGAGTATGACCCTCATATGCTGCAGTTGTTCAAACATTCTCCCATTTATCGATGCCATGTTTTCTCTCTGATGAAGGCGGTGGGTTGGGATTGCATTTAACATCAATCACATCCAGTGCAAGGAGCGCATACAGTCTTCAGTCTATCAGCTGGAGAGTGTATGCTCTCGCCTCGGGTATGCGCTTATTTGCTGTTTTATCCAGTAAAACAAAAGAAAAATCTGATGCCGTTTTGACTGAAGAAGCGTTGGAGACTGCTACTACCGGAGCTGTCCTTTATTTCCTACTCGAACAAAGCCTGAAGTTGGGACTTGAGGAGTTTTCAGCACCACTTTTCCGTGGACAGCGCTCGCAATGAGTCCGGGAGATCGACGCAGTCTCGTAACGCGTTTGGATTTCCGCTTAATATTATTTAGCAACAGTGTTTTCTCACTGAAAACACAACCGTAGTTGTTCGGGAAATCTTGTTTTCTCTTATACCAACATTAAAAAAACGAGTTGTTCCTTGGATACGGGTCCTTCCACGTACATTTGTATTGAGCATGAAAGCTGGGTAAGTAGAGCAAAATTTACTGTAGTTAAATGTTTAGAAAACACTGTGACTCTTACTAAATGCTAAAGCATATATTTGATGGGGTTAACGTTACTTGTCACTTGGGTAATATGCCAATATCCAAAGCATTTGAATTTTTTTTTTTTTTTTTTTGAAGTGATAAACAGTTGAGTGATTGGGATCAGTTTTGCAAAGTAAACCCGCGCATAGCGTTTAAAATCTGTACAACGCCCTGGCCTGTTAACGTATTGTTGTTTTATTTGTGTTATTTTTGTTTTCTACGTGTGAAGCTTTATGCGTGGTGCTCTGTGCCTCTCTGTGCCGCAGAGGCGCCTGAAGTCTCGCAAAATATGATAAAAGAATAACTCAACGTGGAAACTGCTGCAGCCGCGGGGTTTAATATAATTATAGTTGAGGTTCTCATTAACCGTGAATTAATTTTTTTATTTGTTTATTTATCTTTTATGTAATTTTTTTTCATGAACCGATCCCGATTGGTTCCAAGGGCGCAACCAGCCGCTTTATGTTATTCAGCTGCACCCCAAAGATTCATCTCATCCCCCCGCCCCTACTTCTCTCCTCGGGTCCCCCCTCTCAGCCCCATGAACAAGTTGAATCACGCTGAGGGTAGGGGGACGCCGGGAAGCACGGGGTATCCTCACCCTTGGGCACCCTGTCGTGCTCGGTTGGTATTCTCTTTGCTTTGAGTCTGCTGGAGCTGAAGGTTTGCATGGCACTGTGGATGTGCAGATGTGCAGCCTTGACCATGCAAGCCCAACATAATAAGAAGCTAGTCCTGCACACCGCAGCGATAACTTAATGGGCATGCATGGCTGTTTCTTAAATGCTGCTAAGGTTTCTATTATGCCCCAATTTGCTTATCTAAAGGCATGTAACTAAGAGCTGGAGGTCATTTCAGGGTTCATAAAATGAGTAAATACCTGACACACAAGGAAACCCTGGTTTTAATACTTGTTTCCATTTTGAGCTGCTCCCCGGGGCCTTTTTGCAGGGCCACAGATTAGCTTTGTGCTGTAGAGCTCTCACAGGTTCTATTCATGGCAGGGGGTTGCTATGATTACAGCCAAATATGCTATTGTATGCATTCCCTCTGAACTTCCAGACTAAGGGGGCTATGCTCTTCATATCAGTGTGTAATTATCTCAGAAGTGAGACTCAGCACAAAAGGGCTTTTAATTTAACCTCGTCCAGGTTTTGAGCTCTCATGAGGTGGATTTTCTGTCTTAAGTTGGGTTTTTCTTGTTGTGATGTTTTTGAGTGACTGATAGCCTACCTGGCTTTTGCAACAAAGCGTGCTTAAGAATTCTCCTCTGGAGAAGGATTGAGGGAAATACTTGGGGTGTAGAATGTGTAGCTGGCAGGGAAGCTTTTTCATCCAGCCTTAGATTTACTTTGCCAAGCTTTGCTTTGCTTATCTTGTCATTTGAGTTAGTTTAGCAAGTGCAGACTCAGCAAATGAGACCTATGCTTTGGCTGATGCAAAGTTATCTCTAATATGTCATGTGCTTGAATTTAAGCAGCTATGAAGAGATACTGTAGCACAGTCTCATTCTCTGTTTAATAATACAGGAGAACTCAGCAGCACACTGTGGAATAGCTAGCCTGCAAAATTCAGACTATACATTTCATTCTACTAGCAAAGGGTCAAACAATGAATGCATTGCATTTATTTCGCAGAAACTATGATGATCAAAGTGTCTGAAATCTCTTTAGGAGAAAAGGGGGTGTTTGATCCTGCTTTTCAGTCTTCAGACAGATTTCCAAGCAGTCAAATATTTCACACTAGCTACAGATCTTTCAGACAGACTACAACAAGCAAATATGTACACTGTTTCCCAAAACAGACCTGTGGTCAAATTCCCCACAGACCTGTTTTGTTCCCCTTTTACAAAAGCTTGTGGGGGAAAATGTGTGCACAGAGCGTTGAGCCCAGGTTCCAGCTTCATCCTCCTCCTGGCAGACGCCATCTGTTCACCGAGGGAGGTTTTCCAAACAGTTCCATATACCGGTAATAAAGACAGACGACATGGGGAACATGGCTGATGTAACTTGCTCTGTCATAAGTGGTACCCTAAATAGTGGGAATATAAGAAAAAATCAGAAATGATCAACATGCTGCTTTCACATCTTTCTGATTGTTCATATAGACAACACAATATGTGCAAAATAGTTTTTTTCATTGCATTTTGAGTTATATCTTTCCTGCTGAAAGATTATCTTTTAAAATATATATGTTTGTTTTTATTGCTTGTGTTACTGTCTTTACATAGACATTAAATTAACCTATTATGTATGATAATGAGCATTTTACATTCAGAGAGATGAATTCTATTCTTGGGTTAATGGAAAGTGTTTGTAATTTTAACAAGATATCACCTATAAGCAGACAGCATTTTATCTTAATGTTCCAGTTTATTATTGTGTATGCATCTAAATGTGAAAAAGCAACTGGTATACATTGGACTTTCATTTAGCAGTTTAATGTCAGTAATAAATGCAGGGTTTGTCAGTTGCAATCAAATAGTAGTTTCTGCTGATTAGATGGATCCTCCCACACACCACAGTTTTAATTCTTTTAAATCATTTATTTTATAATAACATCAAAATAACTGGAATTATCAATATTGACAGGAAAACATCAACAGAAAAGATGCCAATGGGTGATGTTGTGTGTTTCCTGAGTCATCACAGACATAGATTCTTCCTGGAGCGGCATTGTGTGAAATGGAGTGTGAAATGAGTGCACTTAACATCCTTGCAGTGGATTATGCGCATTATCTTACACAAGGGTTTGAAACCATTTTAGCTCCTGCCCATAAATCTACCATCCGCTAAAATTCACCTTCAAGTTTTTTCAATGATTCGTCATGTGAGGTTTTTTTTTCATTTTTTTCAGTCAGTTCATGCTCAGACATCCAAACTGAAATGCCTTCAAATAACTCTTGAGCCTCATAGTTGACTTTACTGAAACACTTTTTTACACGGTTCTTATTTCCTTTCCTCTTTGTTTTGTTTCTCAATTATGAGTGAATATAATATATACACAAAACACTTAATAATCCTGCATTTCCTCGTTTGTAGAACTTTGCAGATTCAAGCATATATATTTTCTTACATACAAATGGTAAGGTAGCCATGCAGGAGTATGTACATTGAAATTTTTTTCACACCATTTGAAAAACCCCATGTTGTGATGTTAGAAGCAAAGGTTCAAATTTTTTAAATAATTTGATAGACCAACACATTGTAGCATATAATGTGAAGTAGAAAGATAGGTAGCTTCAAGAACTTTCCGCAAACAAATCTAAAAACTGCGGCATGTATTCCTTTTAAGAAGCACTGATTTAACAATTTGCAGAATTCTTTTAATGTATTAAAGTCGGAACTCTTAATGCATTTGTACCAGCTTAGCACATCCAGATGTTCTCATTTTTACATTTTCCATTTTGCAAAACAGGCCAAACTCAATCAGATTTGATGAATAACACCTGGGAAGGGAGCAACAGTCTTGGAGGATGTGCAATCCTCATGAAACTTGACACCTCTTGTTTTACAGACATGGGAAACTGGCAACACAGATGGTGAGAACTTGAAGTCACACTGTATCATGAGTCTTTAAATACATTCCATTTAAACCCATACCAAACTTTAATTATGTTTTGCCTTCACTACAAGCATTCAAAACTGTACTATTATTCATACTGCTGCTGATGGAGCCATACCTATAGATCAGAGCTTGTTACATAAATACAAGGTCTATGAGCCAGTTAAAATCATAAATTAATGTCTGCAAAAAAACAAAACAACTTAAGTCTGCACAATATTTGAAAGTTGTCTGAACAACATTTAAATATCATTGTGAAGCTGGTGCATGATGCTGTGTGATGAATGGACTGAAACTGCACAAGGCTCTTGCAAGAGAACTAGTTTTCAGGGATTACCAATATTTTCTGACCCATTAAGGTGACTAGCTAATATACCAGGTTAGACTATTTAGAATATTGCTCCATTGTATTGGAGAGACCGATCCACTAGACCAACTCCATCCCTGTTTAATCACAGCCGTTAAACCAAAAAAAGTCAGTGTGCTTCTTGACTCCAATGTAGGAAAAATTGAATGGTAGCTAGGTGCACAGTTCTGAAGAACCATAAAAAAAACTGGATAACCAGCTCTTTGGGGTATCTAATGATTATCATCTGCAAGATATTGATTTATTTCAGCTATTTTCAGCTATCGAGTGATTAAGGAGCTGTTTAAGCAGCAGGCAACAATAGGTGATTATTAGTCATCATGATAGACATTACTTATGGGTTCCCCTAGGAGTCAGTATTTAAACCACTGCTTTTTATTCTATCTAAAAGCCACATATGTAAGGTTACAAAAGTATTAAAATTTGTCTTGTTTGCCTATGATACATATGTTTTACGTAAAGGTACAGGTGAGTGTTTACAGGAGCTCTTGGATGATATCAAACCAGAAATAAAAAAGCTAAAAACTGGTGTGACGATAACAAATTGTCATTGGATCTGGAAAACAATTAAGTTCAAAGTTATTTGAAAATTAAAGAGGAAATCTAGATGTGAAAGTCTTAATGGACGGGGGTAAAGGTGGAACAAGAAAATTATGAAAAAAATTCTGGGGTGTGAATTTTTAATACTAGATCTGCTAGAAGCCTCACATCAAATATGTTCAGACTAAACCATCCATCCATCCATCCATCCATCCATCCATCCATCCATCCATCCATCCATCCATCCATCCATCCATCCATCCATCCATCCATCCATCCATCCATCCATCCATCCATCCATCCATCCATCCATCCATCCATCCATCCATCCATTCTTCTGCTTTTCCGGGGTCGGGTTGCAGGGATAGCAGCTTCGGCAGGGAGGCCCAGACTTCCCTCTCCCCAGCCGCTTTGGCCAGCTCCTCCAGGGGAATCCCAAGGCATTCCCAGGCCAGTCGAGATACATAG